TGGCCAGAGCAAGTAAAAAGAGCTTCTGGGCAAAAAAAAAAAAAAAAAAAAAAAAAAAAAAAAAAAAAAAAAAGCTGCCAAGAAATTGTTGTTTCTTCTTATCCTTTGGTTCTGGCTTGTATATTGATTCTACTGCTTTAGCAAAACAAAAGATGCTTCCCTTCACTCAAGAATTTCCTCCATTCGATCTGGTTAAAACATCAGATGGTGACTCCACCACCTCTTTGGGGAACCCGCTCAAATGCTTGAAATTTTCTACTTCTTTCTATGTAGAAATTTTTCCTAACATCTAACCTGAAYGTCTTCTGACACAAGTTGAGGCCATTTCCTCTTGTAGTTATTCTGGAGAAGAGACCAACCCCTGCCTCACTACAGCCTCCTTTCAGGTARTTGTAGAGAACAATAAGGTCTCCCTTTGGGTCTCCTCCAGAATAAATAACCCCAACTCCCTCAGCTGCTCCACATAAGGTCTGTCCTCCAGCCCCTTCAACAGCTGCATTGCCCTTCTTTGGACACGCTCCAGCACCTCAATGTCTTTCTTGTAGTGAGAGGCCCAAGACTGAACACAGTATTCAAGATGTGGCCTCACCAGTACTGGATGATCACTTCCCTAGTCCTGCTCATGACACTGTGACAGGCCATGATGTGGATGGATACATTGACTACTTTTTCAAAAATAGGATAATCGGAATTTGATAATTATGAAGTGTAAGTAGCAACTAAATGCATTTATACTTAAGAATGAAATAATCTTCAGTGGGAAAAAGCACCCTTCAAATTAAGAAAGAGGCATAATCTGCATCACAATCATGTGAAATGTATAGAAAATGTTTTTACCACAAAGACCAAACCTGCTATTAGCCTCTCAGTGTGTTGCCCATTATACTAATATGTGCATCATTCAGAAAGCCCAAATAAAGGATAAAATTGCTACCCTTGGACTGGACATCCTGAACACATACAAAGTAATGTAATTAATATCGAAGTGTTAGGAGATATTTATGAAATATTTTAAACTAGTAATCAAGATTATGCTTAGTTTGGGAATATTGGATAAAGAATTGTTTTTTACATATACTTGTTTAAAATTCTTATTTAGACGTTAAATCAAAAACCTTTATAAAAATCTGAGCATACTGATAATATAAACAGCATGTAATTATCATCAAGTTTAGTTTTGCAGCCACTACCAACAAGCTGTGTTTTTGACAAAGATGGGAAATTTTATGAGCTCTGCCAGTTCATATTTAAATATGCGTTTCACATCTGTTGAGAGAAAAATGCTCAGATTTCAAGTATATTTTGATAAAATAGTTCATACACAAAGCACACTATTCCTGGAGGATTATGCTACTATTTCCAATTAAATTAAATTGATTAAAGTAAATGATGATTTAACCTCAAAGGGAAAATAAATTTCATTTGTAAAAAATACTGTCATTCAGTCTGCTAAATTGCATGTACAGCATGTAATTTCTTAAATATGAGATTCTATTTTTTTGTAACAAGTTTTGATATCAGATTTAAGGTGATCTCGAACATTTGAAGAACTTTAGCATGTCTGAATATATTACCTTATAAAATTAGAGGTTCATGCTTCAACTCCCTGTTTACAGTTATAGATAAGAATCAAAGCTGATGCAGCAGACATGTAAAATCTCTTTTAAAAATTCTCCAGCAGTTCTGCATAGTTGATATATATCTATTTAGCCAGAGAAAGAACTGCTGTCAGATCTCTTTCTAGTCCACTTGACCAACAAAAACCTTGTATGAAGTTATAGAGTGCCCTTCAGAAGATAAAAGAAAACTCAATATTATTATAATCCATCCTCTAAATGAAAATCRTTTGAAGAAGGCTGGACTAGATCCTGAATGCCATGGATTCTTTCCTATGTCTTGGAATGATTTTGTGACTTTTAATGATTTTGTGGCTTTTACATGAAAGAAAACACCTGAGGTTAATATCAAAGGATGAGCTGATGAGGCAAAAGAGTACAAACTAATCTTTAGTGTTATATTTTCACTAAGAGATGTGTTTATTTTGTACCATTGTTATGTTGGTTTCACTCTTTTGACAGAAGACAAAGCCCTGGAGAGCGCTGCATTTTATATTTTAATTTTATTTTTTCTTATGTTCCCACGAGTATACATATATACATATGAATACATGAATATACAGCCCCCAGTATAGATGACAAAGCTTACACGTGAAGGATATGGCTTAAATTATGATCTTAAGGCTGACTTAAATTATCATCTCACAGTTCAGCAGGCTGTAGGCAAAAGCAGTGATACGAGGCTGAGGCCAAGATTTACTGGAAAGGTAAAAGCTTGCTCTATGGTGACATTCATCTGCTAACAACAAAATCAGTCCAACCAAAACAGAACTGTTTTTCTTTATTCTTTTATATTTCCCTTGCGTTAAAGCTGTTTATTAAAAACCAGTACTATTTGTCAGCCAAATTATCTCCATTATTCTAAGCAGAAACATCTTTCATTCCAAAGTGCTGTACTAAGMAATTAAGCAGGTAAATGATTCTTTTTTGCTTGTTTGTGTTTTCCCTCTCCCTTTGTCCATCAAGGACAACACTCCTTAGGTTTCTTTCTTGTCTCAGAAGATTGTTTAAAAGAAAGAAACAAACAAACAAAAAGAAAGATACAATCAAGAAATTTTGCAAAGAAAACATTGTTATGAGATTTTGCTGCTCTCATAGTCTGTGGGGTCCCTTCATCACCCTATTGAAACACCTAATTAAATACTAATTAACATATTTCTGTCATGGTCAGAAAGAATATAACACAAATTCTTCAGTTGTATATATAAAGCAAAGCAACCAAAACAAAACAAAAAATTGTTAAGATGACTTTTCTAGCAATCCACATAAGAACATGAGCAATTAACCATACTGAAAAACTTGTCTTACATTAAAAACAAAGGTTTACATTTGAAAACCCATAAAAGACAGTTCTTATAAAACAAAGTTCCTAAAGAAATAACTATAAAAAGGATTAAGATTAAAAAAGTTCCTAAAGAAATAACTATAAAAAGGATTAAGATTAAAATATCTTTTAATGAACTTCAATGAATCAGTGTGAATAGTTTCACTTGGAAAACATTCAAAATATAACCTGCAAATACTGATGATGAAGCAGCCTTTAAGCTTTCTTTCAAGCAATACATTGAAAAATGTAACTTTATAATATCATTAAATTAGATGTAAATTAAATAATATTGCTGCTTGTTAAAATCTATTTTTATATAATTTGAGAAGCAGATGAATTGATTAGACTGAAATCTTAGTTGTAGAAAAAGCAAGCAAATTCAAATTTTAAATTAAAAAAATGCACTATTAATGTTTATCATAATTAGTCTTGCTTTGTTCTGTTTCCATTTTCCTCCCTCAAGTGGGAGAAAACAATTTGGAGAGTTTTGTGCTTTCAATTTATTGCATCACCTTGAGGGAGTTGTTATATTGTTTTCATTATGAATCTGCAGCTGTAGCATTACAGAGAAAAAAAAAAAGATTTGACCTAAAGATAAAGGTCACATCAGGCCAGTCAAGCTAAACAAGCAACACAAAGGCTAGAGAGTTGAGAAAGGAGCAGGATATTGAAGTATTCACTTAAAACTGTGTTGCCTCATCTCAAAGGATTTATGGTTGGACTCAATGATCTTGAAGGTCTTTTCCAACCATAACATTTCTATTTTTCTGTGACTGTAGCAATTTTTTTACTATCCAAAATTATATACAAATATATTGAGAAGTCTGTTTTCCGAAGTTAACAGTTCATATCCGTCATTATCAGATCAATGGATCATCTTAAGCTGAGGGAAGTGCTACCTGATCCGAGGATATGGAGAAGGATATGGAAAAGGCAGGGCAAGACCTTTCTCAGCGATACATGATGATGAGAGACAATGAAAATAAATTTTAATATGGGAAATAATGATTAGGTATGAGGAYTTTTTTCTATCAAAACAGTCATCAAATACTGCCAAAGGTTTCTGAGATAGATTGTGATATTTCTGTCCTTGGAGGTATTCAGGATTTAACTGGACATGAAAAATGCTGTTAGTATGACAAAACTAGTAGACATGCTGAATAAACAAAAGAGGAAGTGTGAACTTGCATAATTTGGACAAAGAAATTGATTTTCCTTGAAGAATTCACATTATGGAACAATCACTAAATTTCTCATCAGAAAAAAAAAGCTGATGTCTTCTATTGCCTATGAAGTTTCACTTATAAATACAGTGCTTGTCAATGTTTGTACATTAGATCATTAGGTGTCATTCACAGAGAAGTATTTCCTTCCAGCAGAAATGCAGGGGTTTAGGAGAAATTTTCCTTTCATTTTGCTGAAAAAAAGTCATAAAACTTACATTTTCATAGCAACAGTGTACTCTTGATCCACTATTGTGTAGTTTAACTAGTTGCTAGTCTGCTTTTAATTTCACTTATCTTACCTACTGCACTGGAAATGTAGCAATCATGTCCTGACATAAGAGCTCCTGCTAGTAGCACTAAGCTGAGAAGGAAAATGGGTGTCAATCAAAGCTGTTAGTATAGGAGGCACAAAGGATCAGAGTGACAAAAATGCCTGCAGTGCAAGATGAGGAAGGCAGAACAGATGGCCAAAGGCAAATAGCTACTGAACACGGAGGAGAATACATTTATTGGGTCAGAAATCCTGCAGGGCTCTCCTGCTCAGGACCTGGGGAGAATAAACTGTTATCTAGATCTCCTTGAAATTCTAATGAATCAACGAACAACCTAAAGAGTGGCAATAATTTTACTKAGTACTTTACATTTTCTCTAATGAGTGACCAGAAAGTAGAGGAAGCTGTGAAATTCATAGCAYATTTCATGAGTGTAAAAGTTGGAGTTCCATCTCTGGATTATCTACCTTTTCCTCTTCCTATGAGGARCTCATAAATATGTTCAGGTTTATTTTGATTTAAACCTTTTAGTCCCAAAGCTGTGTGATTATAGTAAACTTGATTCATTAAAGTTTAGTGGATATGTAGAAAGTRAGATTTCCTTAGAAAACTAATTCATGTCCCCATTGCCATAACAGAAATAAAAAAGAGAATATAAACTACATAAATTTATTAAAAGGTGGAAAGTTGTCTGGAAGTTTCTCAAGTATAAATTGCCCTTTTAACGACAGTAATAATAATTATACGTTTATGAAGCCACTTAGCTTTAAAATGCAATGACAACACATACTAGCAGTGACACACAAAAAGAGAAGATTTAGTAATTTAGCAGGACAGCAGTGAGCACTGAAAAAAAATGAAATTTTTGAGTGGAAAAAGTGTTTGTTGGGATAAGTATTTTCAACATGTAGGAAATTGAAGAGTAGAGATTTCTAACCCTTATGTACTAATTTAGTAGTCAGCTCCTCTTCCAAATAGGACTGTTAGAAGGCCTTTTGAGAAGGGCTCCTGAAAGATTAGGGATTTCCTTTTTTTTTTTTTTTTTTTTAAGAGTGCTTCAAACTTGGACAAAACAAAAAATTATTTACATAAATCTAATGCCTAATTCATAACCAAGAAATTTCTAAATGAGGTTAACATCAGTTGTCATATTAATAGTTGAAGTCTCAAATAAAGTTTTCAGCTTTTGTTACAGGATGGAAGTTTAATATGATATGAATTTCCCCAGAAAAGAAATCTGTAAACCTCTGAACTGACTCCTTCTTTAAGGGGATGATTATGTGTATTTTTTCTGTAAATTAGTAATTTTTGTAAATTACATGTGGAAAAAGAGATGAAAGTTATGAAAAACACCACTAAATATGAAAAATTACAGATTTCACCAGTAACATGTGAAAAATGCTTGGAAAATGGTTTACTGCCTTTATTTCAAATAATTTAAAATTTGAAGACAGTCATATTTTCCTGTTTTTCTTATTTTTCCTAGTTTGATGTTTCCAAGTCCAGATCACAACTGAATTTCAAGAAACACAAGTATCAATGGTTTATRATATTTGCAGCAAATCTACATAAAATTACTGCCTCATAAATATATAGTTTTGTGCAGTTAAAAAGCTTATCATAGTATTAGCTGTGCAATAGTCTMATATTATCACAATCAAGTCAGAAACAACTAGGACTTCAAAAATTAGACTAGATTAAGACAGAAAAAAATGGAATACCTGCATAAAAGAGCCTCAGCTCTGCGTAAAATGCTGCTGAATAAAGACACGGTAAAGACACATATGATTTCAATTTCAATCTTAGACCCTACACRGTGTCACAGGAAAGGTTTCTGTCTTGTGTTATTGGTTCTTTTTTTTTTTTTTTTTCCAGTAGAAAAATGAATAAATAAATAAATAWAAATCAATCAGTCTATTTGTAGATCCTCCATCTCTCTCCACTACAATAAATWTTCTTTCTGCAGGACAAGAATTGACATGCTGGTTCTACATTTTGAATGTTAACTCTGTGCCAGAAATGCCAGTGGAATTGCTTCTAACATTAAAGATGAAATAAATTCTCTGAAGAGCTGAGCTCAGATGGAGAAAAAAAAAACCACTTTTGCTATGTGTTGCATCATCAATAGATGCATCATAAAAAACATTCAAGAAAAGCTCCAGTAATTTCTTATATTTAAATTAAGTTTTCTAGTGACAGAATGGACTTTTAAACAAACAGTATGCCTTAGACTACACAGARAAAATGCGTTAGGATCCATAAATACAGAAGTTTTATGATATGACATTGAATTTTTTATGCTGAATAATCAGGCAAATACCAACAGGAATTTGCTACCATGGAAACCAGCAGTTGCTTTTACCTTTGATTAGATACTGTGAGAAAGCTGGTGCATACTTGTATGTGTGTTCTTGTGGGAGGAAGGTTATTTAGATGAAGGAAAAAAGTGGACAGACGAATTATGTTTTTTTTCATATTCTCTTTAAAGATATGCACTCTGAGAATTGTTTGTGCCTGAATCTGGGTCAACAGTTTGGCTGTTGCAGTAAAACTACTTGAATCTGAAAAAAAAAAAATTTTTTTTCTAAGGTTAGATGATTCAGTAGTGAAAATTTCTCAGCATATAAACTAGCTTTAATAAACAAATTAGCACTATTTAAGAACTGAATTTACAGGAGTTTACTGAGGATTATGTACACTCACCTGGTCTCAATATTTTTTTCAGATTTTTTGACACTGTAATTCATCAGAAATTCATTGGCCCTGTCCTAAAAAAATGTTGGAATATAAATTGTACTGGCTAAACAGTAAAAATACATGTACTTTTATTAGTATGTTCTTTGACATACACTCTCAAATACAAATATAATCTGTCTTAATTCATTAGGTGATTAATTTAACAAGAAAGGGACATTTTAGAACAACATAATCAAAAACATCATCAACAGAACATGAATGTTATAGCAAACATTTATCTATATTACTTTACATACATTTTCTTATTGCTSAAACATACATACAAATTTGTGGAAAATTGAAAAGTGAAAAATATTTCTAAGTCTTGATGTAAGTGAATCAGGACATTTACACTATTTTGGTGTTCGCTCTAATAGTCACCACCAAAAGAGCCACAGAGTCACTGTAAAAGGACCTTCCTTATAGCCTTTTGGTATCTTTTCAGCTACCAATAATCTCTTCTTACTGAGAGTGGAGGRGAAGCCTAACACTGTTTCTATGTTTTTTGTTGCACTGAGGAACTATATCATCTCAGGGTATATTTCTACCAACAACCCATCAGATAATATGAATGGCAGCCAGCCCCACTTTAGGGACTTCAATAGATTAATGTAAAATTTAATTTAAACATATTTCCTCAGCTATGTTCTRAAAGAGAATTAGATACTACTTGTTAGAAATGACAATTTTTCATTTAAAAAATCATACCTACATTTGTATTTTCCATAGGGCCTTATATAGATTTGTTTTAATTATGTATGTGCCATCTACAGTTAAAACACTAGGTTCTGCAAATATTTGTTCATTTAGTGRTGATATCACAATTCTGTTATTGCCAATAATGTTTCTCAGTGGTGAATTTGCTRGACCACAGTACCATGCTTTTTGGGTACCAGGTTACTAAAAAAGCTTGCAGGCTCTGCTGATATCTTATGAGACAATGGTTTGGACTCTTCTGCAGATCTACTGCTGAAGTTTCAGGAGAAGTTAGATCTCAGTAGTTTATTTTTATAGGAAGCCCTAGAATCTCAAAGGAGCTGTCAATGCACGGCTAACTCCATCATCATCATAATGACAGTACTTCTTTCTTGAAATATCTGTTATAGATTACTAATGTAAAAAAAAAGAAAAAAAAATCCCATCAACACCGTTTACTGAAAGCTAAGACTATGATGTCTTTGTACAGAGTTTATCAATAAACCCTACTGCTTTAACAGGGTATGTTACTGACAGGTGATCCAAAATTAAGTCAATTTGAACATTCAGTCATTGCTTTTTAGCTTATTCTTTCAAGGATGATTTCATTACTTGTAACATCATTCTAATGCCTGTGTTTGCAGGGGATGGAGAATTTCCATTATAGTCATAACTTATGATTCCATTTTCTTTCCTTCAAACTTTGACGCAAGAAAATTGTGGCCATTCACTTAAATCTATTATGAAATGGACTTTTATGATAATGAAATAAGATTTTGAGWTGAAAAGTAGGACATCAGGACCTGTAGAGTTATAGTTGAAATAGTACTCTCAGGACACTATTATCTACATGTCTTGAGTAAAATAGAGTTCTGAGGAAACAGAAAGCCATAGCTTTTGAAAACCAGAATTATCTGAAATGTCTTCTCCCTATAGGAAGAGATACAGGGGGAAGGATATCTTTTCCTATAGGAAAAGAGAGAGATRGAAGGCAATATTCCTTCACAGAGCTTCATGAGATGACTGCAGACATGAACAATGAATTATACCTTCTTTATTGATATAGATTACTTGCTTCCTAGATTACTCACAGTGCTACCGTGGTCCCTATGAAAAGTATTAGCTTTTGCTTGACTAGTGTGARAAATATCACTTTAACATCATTGCATGTGGAGCCTATATTCATTTTACATGTGGAGCCTATACATTCACATTCACATATACATTTACATTCACATGTAAAATGAATATAGGCCCCTGTGCCACATGCTCTAGGTGTTCCTGCCTGAGCAGGAAGKTTGGACTAGATGATCTCTAGAGGTCCCTTCCAACCTTAACCATTCTGTGWTTCTGTGATACATGATCATGACTATGTCATTTGGTAAAATACAGCATTTCTTATTTTGTTATAATAAATGCTGTTTCAATGAAGAAAAGGTACAGGTGAAAGAAAAACAAAATGATGTATTAATATTAAACTCTTCATTTAATAAATCTGCTTTGTAATTGTACATCAATTTTAACTCATGCTTTAATAATATATTGGTATTTTTTCGCTATTCTTTCGCTATTATTCGTAAACTAAAGAACAGCTTAATTTCCATTATTCATTTCAGCTTTAAATGTGAAAAGAGAATAAGAAAATAATTAGTTTTTAATGGTATAAAAATCAGTATTAAGAAATCTTAATTATTTTCATCTATTTCAAGTTACTACATACATTTTATTCTTTTTTAAAGAAGTATAAAATAGAAAAAAAAAGGCTTTCAATATAATCTGAGTTTCCTTTGCATCTTTTCTGTATCATTTGAAAGGTTTTCACACCATTTTTGTGTGAATGTGTGCACTGCATTTTCAGGTTAGTGGTTATTAAAATTTCTTTCTATTTGGCAAAATAGCTGTATAAAAACTGAATCGTTTTACTCAGTGAATATGGGAGTGTGGTATAAAAGATATGAAAATTTAGATAAACCTATACACTACTGCATGTATTAAAATACAGATTTTTTTTTTTTAATTCTTATTTATGTGCCTCAGATTATTATTGCAATCACAATAATAGTGGACGCAACCGCAATCACAGTCGYAGTGGACGAAGCTTTCTACAGGGAGCTGAAAGAAGCCTCCCGGTCACAGGCCCTGGTCCTCCTGGGGGACTTCAGCCTTCCTGATATCTGCTGGGAAAACCACAGAGCCRGGAACAGACAGTCCAGGAGGTTCCTGCAGAACATTGCAGATAACTTCTTGATGCAGGTGGTTGAGGAGTCAACAAGGGGAGGGGCGCTGCTGGACCTGATACTAACAAACAGAGATGGTCTAGTGGGACCGCTGGGGGCGGTCTTGGCTGCAGTGACCACGAGATGTTGGAATTCACGATCCTGTGTGGAGGAAGCTGAGCAAGAAGTAGGATAGCTACCCTGGACTTGAAGAGAGCCAACTTTGACCTCTTCCGGGAGCTCCTTGGAGCAGTCCCCTGGRTCAGGGTCCTAGAAGAAAAGGGGATCCAGGAGAGCTGGCTAGTATTCAAGCACCACTTCCTCCAAGCTCAGGATCGGTGCATTCCCACAAGAAAGAAGTCACGTAAGTGGGGCAGGAGACCTGTATGGACGGGCAAGAAGCTGCTGGGCAAAGTTAATGAGAAAAACAGAATAACCATCATGTGGAAGAAGGACCAGGCCACACGGGAAGAATATAAGTGTATTGTTAGAGAATGCAGATACGCAACGAGGAAGGCCAAGGCCCATCTGGAATTGGTGAGAGATGTCAGGGTTTCTATAATTATGTCAGCAGCAAAAGGAAGACTAGGGAAAATGTTAGTGTGCTGTTGAATGGRGAGAGGTCCTTGGTGACGGAGGATGYCAAGAAGGCAGAGTTACTAAATACCTTCTTTGCCTCTGTCTTTACTGCTAAGGCCACTCCCCATGAACTGCAGGSCTCAGGTGGAAGAGATATAAATCTCTTTTTATATCTCTATTTTTATCTCTTTTTTTTCCACAGAGCAGTGGAACAGGCTGCCCAGGGAGGTTGTGGAGTCTCCTTCTCTGGAGATCTTCAAAAATCCGCCTGGATGCCGCCCTGTGCCACATGCTGTAGGTGTGCCTGCTTGATCAGGAAGGTTGGACTAGATGATCTCTAGCGGTGCCTTCCAACCTTGAACATTTCTGTGATTCTGAGAAYCGTGGTGGGACTTCTAGGAGACTCTTTGACTAAGCTGCACTAGGAAACCTTTGCCTCCAGGGAGCTAACATGATTCCACCATAAATCTTAAACAGATTTACAGAAGCAGGTTATACAGATCATATTTTCTTTTGCAAGGGAAAAGCAGTCAGACTAAAAATTAGTAGAGTCCTTAACAGAACGTGGAGGTTAAACATTACTATAACTATGGCATTATTAATAATCTTAGAAATCATTCAAAGTGATTCGAGCCTGTATGAAAGAGATTATCTAGCCTTCCAAAAGAAGATTGAGAGCTAACTACTTACTTTGTCTCCACTTACTACTCTTGGAGACGTACAGGTTTCTAAGAAACCAAGAAGGATATGGATATTGAAAAGTAAGAATTAGACTTGCTCTTGACAGAGATTATACAAACATAAAGGGAAAAAATACGGTCATGCTTATTTTAATTCCACATTATACTAAGACATTCCTGCCTTTCTACGCTTTGTCAATGAATCAGTGAATCATCTTCAGTGAAGAGCAACTAAGCTGATAAGTTTTGTTTAAAGTYTGTGAAAAGCAGTCATAAATGGTGTAATACAACTCTCCATCAGAATTTTAATTATTTTCATCAGTAGCAAACAGAGACCAATTCTCTGATTAAATATCAGAGATGAGGAAAAGATGAAATGTAACATAGGCTATATAAACAATATTTGAAGGCTGCCTTCAAAAATGAAAGGAGAAAACCCCACAACTTATAACAGCTTTGTCTGGTGTGCTGTGTTGTGCAAATATAGAAAATAAATTTGTGTCTATATATTTATATTACTGTCCCCTACTTAAGTTATAGATATATAACTCAAATCAATTATTCCTGTATACCTAAATCCCAATAAGGGGTATTTTTGCCTCATTTTAAGGCAATAAAGCATTTTTAGAGGTTGTGGCATGAGAAAAAAAAAATTAATTTACTTGACATTTAGCCTATTAGGAGCCATTGAATAAGACTATTCTCTTCTCACTGAAAATTATGATCAGTTAACTTCTACTGAAAAAGCTAGACAAGTTTCATTATTTTATTTAAGAATTTGTACCTAAATTCACAATTTTTCTTGTGTTCATTTTTTTAATAAGGCTGGCATGATAAAAATATACAATCAACGTTTAGATA